TGCCTATATACATTATTTACACCAATTTATCTAGTATCTACATAAATCCTTAAGGTTAAATTGTGTAATAATTGTCATTGGGTATTTCTTGTTTGATTTGAGTAGTTTGGAAGCCCGGGAAGCCTTCCTGCTTTATTGGCTGCGGTGGCGGGCTGGCGGCCTGTCCGCTGCTGTCAGGTTGAGGCGGGGCGGGGCGATGGGCTGGGTTAGGGGGCGGAGCTTGGGGATAAGACGAGGATTGTCCAAAGTGAGGTAGATGGGCATGACCATTCAGGGACGCGGTGACAAATTCGGATGATTGGCCGGGATTTGGGAAACTGCTGGAGCCTGAAGTTTGGGGTAAGGATGGGTTGATGGATGAATGGTTTTGGAATGAGCGGTGGGCGGGGCTGAAAGGTGGTGTTTGGGCTGAGCTGGACGGTGACTCGTGGGGCAGCATCGGGTGGGCGGGGTCAGTGAGGGGTTGTGGGCAGGGCAGGAGTGGGGTGGGGCGCTGCCGGATGCCGTGCTGCTGCAGGAGGTGGGACTGCAGGTACTGGCGGGTCTTGAAGGTCTTCCCGCACACCCCGCACACCACCCACTCCCCGCGCCCGTGTACGTTAGCCACGTGCTGCTTCAGGTTGCCCACTGTGCTGTAGCTGCGCCCACACGCCTCGCACCACGGCCGCGGCTGCTGGTGCTGCTGCTGTTGCTGCTGCTGCTGCTGCTCTTGCTGCTGCTGCTGCTGGGTCTGCTGAGAGTGTTGCCACAGTTGTACAGTGCTGGGCCCCGCTGAGGAGGACGAGGCGCTCCCTGGGGATACTTGGCTGCCCTGCTGGGTCGGGGCAGAGTGGTCCACGCCCCCCAGCTGGGACATCAGCACAGACAGATCGAGGTCACGTGACCCCGTGCACCCTGCAAGTGACGTCAGCACTGTGGTCAGCTGATCTCTTATGGATTTTGCTGTCAAATTTAGTGTGAAGCACAAAGCCATTTAGCTTTTATTGACAGACTGAATCAATTTAACTTTTAGATTTTCAAATTAAGTTGAGAATTTCAAAACTTGAGAATTTAACAAGTGGTAGGAAAAAAAAAGGAATGAGAACCATGCAGTGATGAATGTGACACTTAGAAGAAAGAAACGTGAAGCGACTCAACAGTGATAAAACTCACACCAATGTAGCAGTAATATCAAGAATAAAAAACAAAATGACTAAGGGGGTAAAATTCAAAAAAGAGCTGCCAACCACAGTATCTGACACCCTTGGCAGGCCTGCGCCCTCTGCCCCAGCCTCGCTACACTTACACTACTCTCAACTTATCTACACTTATCACTACCAAAACGAAACGCTAACTACAATTTCTGTAGCTGTACTGCCACTCTTCACAATTTTTTAAAATTGTTGTATTTTATATCATCCTTTTATATTATAAATGAGTAAATCATTTCGAAGCTTTAGTTCCATAGGATCTACACGGATTTATTTGCCTTAACATACTCGTACAAAACTCCCAAGTTTTACTAACATTTTACTAAATAACAAAATTTAAAAACTAAATTTAGTTTTTTATTAAATTAACTTCATTATTCTCGTATTTGCTGTCCAAGTTTGCCCAGAGAAAACGTACGGGAATTACTCTTGTAAAAACGCAATATTTTAAAACGTTAACATGTACCAAATGTATGTAACTTGGGACAACATATTATTTAGTGTGAACGAAGTAAGGCCCAGTATACAAGGTGAACTGGTGTATCAAGCGTACACGTCCTCAGTTGGTCCACTCTTAGTTATCTTTTTTATCTCAAAAACTAACTTACCAGACAATCTTATCTTGAGGTTATCTAAGATAAAGCTAAATTTTCTGTACAAAACTTAATTAACATTGTTTGCAAAACTTGTGCTATAATACTCAGGTTTTTTTAAAAATCTGCTGTACTAGATAAAGCTTAACTTGTTTTTCTTAACTTGTTTTTCTTAACTTGTTTTTCAGTTGAATTGACTTTATTATACATTACTTATCAGACAAATTTTAAATTCCTTATACCATAAGACAATTTACTCTATAAAACCTAACTTAGCAAATTCCAGCTTCACAAAGAACTGGGCATTAAGAACATTCCCTTACTAAACTTACCTTATTCAGCTCTAAAAGCTTAAGTTTACCCTGCGAAGATAGGTTTCCCGTACCCCTTAAACCATACTACATTTGACTTAACTAACCTAGCACCATCGGAGTCTGTTCCAGCTAAGTCAACTCTTGTATAGCAAAACCTATACAACAAATTTTTAATTTGTAAGCACGGAGAGTATGCCGCCCGAACGAATGCTAATTTTATCTGCTGTGCAATTTAAGCCAACTTCCACTAAAGGTAATATATTCAGCTGTTTGCATTGTAATACCTTATCTTTGTTTCCGCTAAAAAGATTGACCCTCTCTCTCTTCCACCAAATCTATTCCAAATTACTTTCCCGAATTGCGCATTATTTAAGTATCAATCCGCCATCCATTTAGTCCGAATGGCTTCGACCAGTTGACTATTTTTCTTAAGTCTCATAAAAATACAATCGAACCTTGTCAGAAACAAAAAAATCGAATCGCTTAAAATCTGCATGTATGACCTACGCCCGACCACTCTTGTCAATTTACATTTTAAATGTTGTTATCTTTCGCGAGTAACTCGCACCTAACTGAATGATTGCTGTAATGGCTTGCCGCTTTCCCTTCCCTTCCAACCTGCTCCTTGGCTGTACCGGTGAGCAGCCCAGAGAGACAGAGGAGGAACCGCGACATGTTGACCAGGCCACACACTAGAAGGTGAAGGGACGACGACGTTTCGGTCTGTCCTGGACCATTCTCAAGTCGATTGTGATGACTCTCAATCCGATCATAGATTGTGAGAATGGTGACCATTCTCACAATCGACTTAGGAATGGTCCAGGACGGACCGAAATGTCGTCGTCCCTTCACCTTCTAGTGTGTGGTCTGGTCAACATTCTTCAGCCACGTTATTGTGACTCCTCGCCTGCAACCGTGACATACTATACATGTCTGTGAGAAGCACCAAAGTGAGGCATAACGCCGGGAAAGTAAAGATAGGTTATCTTGAGATGATTTCGGGGCTTTTTAGTGTCCCCGCGGCCCGGTCCTCGACCAGGCCTCCACCCCCAGGAAGCAGCCCGTGACAGCTGACTAACACCCAGGTACCTATTTTACTGCTAGGTAACAGGGGCATAGGGGGAAAGAAACTCTGCCCATTGTTTCTCGCCGGCGCCTGGGATCGAACCCAGGACCACAGGATCACAAGTCAAGAGTGCTGTCCGCTCGGCCGACCGGCTCCCAGTAGTTTTAAACTACTGTAAAAACTACTGTACCCAGTAGGTACAGCAGTTTTCCCGGCAGCCCTTTCGTCCACCATGCAGTGTACATGACCTTCTTTCCATTACTTGTCCTGTTTAAAGGGTATATTACGAGCCTCACAGCTTGGGTCAAGAGAGTCATGTAAACATATCTACAGGATCACACTAACGTGATGCATCAAATGAACAAATGTGTCTGGGATGCTCCTGGACGCAGGTTCAAATCCTCGTCACGGCCCTTGTGGATTTGTTCATGTCTACAGGTTTTCGTAAGCTAGACTTCCTCATGTATAAAAGTTATGGCGTTTAACATGGTTTGCTTCATTCAATAATTTTGTTCTATAACTCAGGATTTTTTCTTATAAAAGAAAATATTTGTTGCTTTGGCTCCGTTGTTTAGTACAGCTTCAAAAAGTTTCCTCGTTCAAATGTCTTGTGTGAATCTGTTTTTTTTTTTGTTTTTTTTGCAGGTGGAGGGTCCAAGTGTTTTCTCTTTTACACCAATTCTCAATACACCAGTTTTTACCAATTCGAATGAATTGGTGTTCGTTGTTTTCGAATTAATGGTGGGAACAAACAAGTAATCCACAAAAATACATGGGTAAACAGCGGGGGTTAAGATTTACTCTACGGAAAACAAATACCTGATTTCGGAATTCATGAAAATCACAGGGATCGCTATAGATGCAGATATTTCTTAAAAAGTGGTCCTAGGGCCGACCCCTGACTATCCTGTGACACATACTCCTTACATGTCACTTTGGAAAGTAGGGTGAGGATAGGCCCTATCGTTTGGCCTCTTCGGACAGATTTTTTTGTTATAGATATAGATTATCTAGGTCAGCTCACATCGTCAAATACTTGCAGTAGCTTAAACTGTAGCAGTCAAGGTTATGTGTTTATTCCCATATGTGATTAACGGGAATGTGCTTTTCTCTTATTTCTCAAGGTGTTAACTAGGCTCCTGTGATTCATGGGACCTTCATTAACTTCTTTTGGACGAGCACTAAGAAATACTGAAAACTAGTCCCAGAATAACCACGTAATTCTTCTACGGTTAGAAGATATAGATAAATATAATTATTTACCAGTATTCACTTGTGATATAATGCCATTACATTCGCTGGCTGAATTGCTGCCAAACCTAACTATAAAACAGTTAACCCAATGTCCTTATCTAATTATCAGCGTCAATGATATTTTATTCGGGTTTCTGGCTCGTTTATTATTCTTAAAGCACGGTTATCGACCCTTTGAAAATCGTAAACACGGCTCTGGGCAATAACTGGGTGGGAGGTGGCGTGGAGTTACCGACGCTGGGTGGGGAAATGCGTGTAGGGTGGGGGTGAAAAATTGCCCTTGCTTGGGGGCCAAAATCACGATAAGGTTGGTGTATAAAAATGAATGCATCATCCAGACAAGTGTCATAGCAGAGCTCAAGGCTGTGAACATGAGCAAGACAGCATGCAGTAAAAGTGAGCATACCCATGCTTTCTTGTTCAAAAAATCAGTCCAAAGATGATTGCGGATAAATTGTTTTCAGTCCACACTAATAGATAAAAAAAAATGATTAAACAACAAGACAAGAGCTGATATGGAAAACTGATAAACATTCAATAAGAAAATATGGAAAATAAAACAAAGTGTGAAAGTTGTACTTACCGGGGTTGCTGTCGGAGTTGGAGCCGAGGGCAGCCGAGGTCAGGCTGGCCAGCCCCGAGGGCCCGGGGAAACCCCCAAAACCTGTCGGTTGGTGTTAAGAATATTATCAATATATATATATATATATATATATATATATATATATATATATATATATATATATATATATATATATGTGTGTGTGTGTATATCACGAAAATAAACACGTGATTAAGAATGTGACAATGTCAGACCACGAAGGAAAAATGAAACAGGAAATTTCCTTAAGTACTTTCGTATATTAAATTCATCTTCAGAAGGTCTTCTGAAGATGAATTTAATATACGAAAGTACTTAAGGAAATTTCCTGTTTCATTTTTCCTCCGTGGTCTGACATTGTCATATATATATATATATATATATATATATATATATATATATATATATATATATATATATATATATATATATATATATATATATATATGTCGTACCTAGTAGCCAGAACTCACTTCTCAGCCTACTATTCAAGGCCCGATTTGCCTAATAAGCCAAGTTTTCCTGAATTAATATATTTACTATAATTTTTTTCTTATGAAATGATAAAGCAACCATTTTCTCTATGTATGAGGTCAATTTTTTTTTATTGGAGTTAAAATTAACGTAGATATGTGCCCGAACCTAACCAACCCTACCTAACCTAACCTAACCTATATTTATAGGTAAGGTTAGGTTAGGTAGCCAAAAAAAGCTAGGTTAGGTTAGGTTAGGTAGGTTAGGTAGACGAAAAAACATTAATTCATGAAAACTTGGCTTATTAGGCAAATCGGGCCTTGAATAGTAGGCTGAGAAGTGCGTTCTGGCTATTAGGTACGACATATATATATATATATATATATATATATATATATATATATATATATATATATATATATATATATATATATATATATATATATATATATATATATATATATATATATATATATATATATATTGAAGGGTATTGATTTGCACGTATCAAGAAAGTATGTAATCCTAGGACTTATAGCAGGAACTATTTTAATATTTAAATCATTATGTTGTATATTAATATCATAAACTGAAGCTATATTGGAAAATATATAATGTTAAACTGTTGTGTAAATGTGTTAGATGTTGCAAGAACGGCGGGAAGTTAACCTTTAAGTGCAGCCATGTTGGCCAGGCCAGACATCTTGTCGAGTGTACTCTCGTGGTCGTAGTCGTCGTCGTCGTGGCGGGACTTGTCGCGGTCCTCAGAGCGGTCACTGCCCATGGTGTCCTGGGTGTCCTCTGACGCCATGCTGGGGTACAGCCCGTGGTAGGAAGGTTGGTGGTTGGTGGGCGTGGGGGTGTGGAGGGCGGAGCGGCCGTGGTGGATGGAGGAAGGGTGGGCGGTCGTCACGGGCGGGAGGGCGGTGATGGAGGAGGGCAGGGAGAGTGGCAGCGACGCGCCAGATAAACCCATGGGCGGCAAGTTGGGCAGACCTGCCATGGTAGCCATATTGGCCATGCTTAGGGGCAGGCTGGGGATAGGCGGCGTGGGAGCTGGGGGGCTCGGGTCCCCTGACAGGTGGGGTGAAGGCGAGGAAGGAGGCACTGGACCAACACTGCTACTTAGCTTGATCCGTTTGACTTGTGGACTATCTGGGGGCCGACTCTCCTCTTCAGGCTCCACTGGCTCTCTCTTGGGCGTGGGAGTGGCCGCCTCGCGGGTCGGGCCGTTCTCGCGTCTGCACTCGGGTGAAGACCGCGAGCGGGACTCTGCTGCGGCAGCCTCGGCCAGTCCGCGGATCTGAAGCAGTTTGGCTGTCCGAAGGAACTCGGTGATTTGGTCATGAACAATCTGCACCTCCCCATGATACATGTACTGCAGCAGGGTTATCAACTCACTGTAACCAACCTCGTTCAGAATGATTATAGGATGATCGCATGGATTATTCTGAAACATAAAAAGATAAACGTTTACACACTTTAATACCGAAAATTATGGTTTAAAGTAAACTTGTAAATGAAGAAACTCTTGCACATGCATTGTCTTTACAACCCGAGGACACTGAATAATGACTGACCTTGAGCAGTGACCTGAAGTAAGGGCTGCAGGCAGAGAGCACAACCTTGTGAGCAGACACCTGTTGACCCTCACAAGCTAAGGTCACGTCCACAAACTCCTCCTGTTCCCGGAGCTCCCTAAAAAAAATATAACGTTATTGGTAAGTTTTCCTGGCCAAGAAGTGTTTTGTTGTTGATTTAGATTTAGCTACTCGGAACAATAAGTTCCTAGTAGCACGGGCTATGGTGAGCCCGTAGTGGACCTACCTGGCACAGGAACGGGGCTGTAACTGGGAAGTGTTTTAGCTACTGCAAGCACCACCCTCATCAGTGGGGTGGTACAGCAGTGATGACCAACGCCTGACCACACTGGATAACGATAACTAGTACATTATGTACTTAACACTGAGTGGTATAGTGACCTATACCATTTTTTTAAGTTGACGGCTGTTTGTAAGTTTAGTGAATATGCAGGACTTTAGTATTGTTAAAATGTTGGTTTTTAGTAGTCGGGGACAGGAAGATTGTTAGGCTTATTGAGGTCCTTCTAGGCCTACTACTGTTGAACAAATCCACAAGGGCCGTGACGAGGATTCGAACCTGCGTCCGAGAGCATCCCAGATGTTCATCCCATTTTGTTCATTTGATACATCAGGCAATTGTGATTTCTGTGTCTACTACTGTTGAACCCCTCCGAGGAGGCAGCCCACAACAGTTGTCTAACTCCCGGGTACGTATTAACTGCAGGGTGAGCAGAGGCATCAGGTGATTTGCACCTTTGGTTAAACGCTTTTATCTTGCCGCGGGATTTGAACCCGGGACCTTTCGGGCGTGACCCGGCTGCGCCGACATTAATGATGAAGTAGCACTATAAGGTTACAGAACTCTCAGGGGGAAAGCGCCAAGCCATTACGACTATATAGCACTTGGAAGGAATCAGAACAAAGATATGGGATAAGACGGGGGAGGAATGGTGCCCAACCACTTGGACGGTCGGGGTTGAAGGTCGACGATTGATTAATTGATGAAGATTAAGCCACCCAAAAGGTGGCACGGGTATGAATAGCCCGTAAGTGGTGGCCCTTTTGAGCCATTACCACTATCAAGAGCTGATACTGGAGATCTGTGGAGGTGCGACTGCACTCTGCGTGACGGGAGATGTCTCCCGGGGACCAAATGGATGAAGGTCGACGTGCATGAAGCGAGACCGTCGCTCTATCGTCCAACTCAAGTGCTTGAGCCACTACACGGTAAAAGTCAAAACTTAACTTGTCTTACAACTGTAAGTGTTTATGGTAATAGTATTAATCTTTCTTAGTGACACGGCCAGTTGTTTCCTGCACGATTAACATTTACACCACAAGTCTAATCACAATAACGTATTGCAACAACATCAGGAAATTTCTGTACTATGACGAAAATGTCGTCCTTTAAACTAAGGATTAAGCTTTAAATTTATATAATATATTTCCAGCAAAATAATCTGCCTGAAGAATGGTTTCGTGGATCAATTTTATTACTGAAGAAATGTTGCAAGGTTACCTTGCCTTACCTTGAGGTTACCTTGAGGTGCTTCCGGGGCTTAGCGTCCCCGCTAGGTAGGTATAAAATTTCGAGGCACATATTAGTGTGCTCCAGAAATTTGTTGATTTAATAAAGCTGCTTTACATATTAATGGATCAATCATATGGATGTGCATGAGGTCGGGTCTACTAACCTCGTATTGATTATAATATATTTGTCAACTACCGGCAGAGATGGGCCAGTGTATTGGAGCTCCTCTCATATATATGAAGAAAATATTAAGGTGTTGAGTGAGAATCCACAAGGTCTTCTCTGAATACTCTTTATTTTCTTCTTCGAGGCTATGGGTCATTGGCCCTACCATTGCACCAGAGGTGGTACCCCTATATATATATATGTCGTACCTAGTAGCCAGAACGCACTTCTCAGCCTACTATGCAAGGCCCGATTTGCCTAACAAGCCAAGTTTTCATGAATTAATATATTTTCTCTATTTTTTTTCTTATGAAATGATAAAGCTACCCATTTCATTATGTATGAGGTCAATTTTTTGCTATTGGAGTTAAAATTAACGTAGATATATGACCGAACCTAACTAACCCTACCTAACCTAACCTAACCTATCCTAAAATGTTAGATTAGGTTAGGTGGCCGAAAAAGTTAGGTTAGGTTAGGTTAGGTAGGTTAGGTAGTCGAAAAACAATTAATTCATGAAAACTTGGCTTATTAGGCAAATCGGGCCTTGCATAGTAGGCTGAGAAGTGCGTTCTGGCTACTAGGTACGACATATATATATATATATATATATATATAGTTTTATGTGCAATAACACAATTGTTGACCAACACGCTTGACTTTTGCATTACCAGCATTAAAAAGTGTGATTTCTTCACATTCGATTTAGATTATTAACGTAAACAAAATATAGATCAGTAACCCCTCTTAAGTCACTAATACCCAACTTCTACAGCTAGGGGGCCACGCAACGGGAAATTGGTTAATTGCCTGGTGCTTGCTGGTAAATTACAGTTGATTTCTGTGCAGCTTAATTTGTTGTTTGAGCGACGTTTCCAAACGTGTGTTATTCTCGCTGATACGTCAAGTACAGGATTTGTGGTGGATATATATACAATACACTCGTGGCCTTTGTGTACATGTGATGAGAGATCTCGTAGGCGAAGAGTCACAATAACGTGGCTGAAGTATGTTGACCAATCCACACACTAGAAAGTGAACAATCACACACTAGACAATCGACTTGAGAATGGTCCAGGACGGACCGAAACGTCGTCGTCCCTTCACCTTCTAATGTGTGGATTGGTTAACAGAGATTTCTTACATTTTAGACAATATTTCATAACTAGGTTTAGTTATCACATAGTACCTAATGTTGTACGTAATGGGCCAAATTGCCTAACAAGCAGGGGGAAGGTAGGGAACTATCAGGGGAATGTAACAAGCCATTACGACCATATAGCATTTGGAAAGGATCAGGTTAAGGATTTGGGATGGGACGGGCTGGGAAGGAATGGTGGCTAAAAACTTGGATGTTCGGGGATTGAACGCCGACCTGCATGGCCTAACAAGCAAGAGTTTTCCTGAAATTATATGGTTTTTCTAATTTGTTTTTTATGGAATGATAAAGATTTCCATTATAAAAAATACATTACGTATAAAATATGTCTCCGAGAGAACGATAAGAAAAAGGTTCAACAAAGGAAGAGTCATTATACAGAAGAAAGACGACAAGCGGCCATACCTTGAGGTTACCTTGAGGTTACCTTCCGGGGCTTAGTATCCCCGCGGCCCGGTCGTCGACCAGGCCTCCTGGTTGCCATAGTGTATCATAAAGCCCAGCAACCTCGCTTAAGGGGCCTGACAGCTGAGTGGACAGCGTTTCGGATTCGTAGTCCCTGAGATTCTGGATTCGATCCCCGGTGGAGGCGAAAACAAGTGGACAGAGTTTCTTTCACCCTGATGCGTCTGTCCACCTAGCAGTAAATAGGTACCTGGGAGTTAAGACAGCTCCTACGGGCTGCTTCCTGGGAGTGTGTAACAAAAAGGAGGCCTGGTCGAGGACCGGGCCGCGGGGACGCTTAACCCCGAAATCAACTCAAGATAACCTCAAGATAACCAAGAAAATAGGTTTTATCGAAATAGTCTAATATAAAATCCACGGAATAAAAACGCCTGGTCTAATCCAGTTACTTTCTTTACCTGCAATTTTCCAAGTGCTTCTTTGCACTCTCCTTAGCTTATACCTTTCATAATAGTTTCCTGCCCCTCTGTAATCTGTTGTACCGACCTGGAGCCAGATTCACGAAGCAGTTACGCAAGCACTTACGAACCTGTACATCTTTTCTCAATCTTTGGCGGCTTTGTTTACAATTATTAAACAGTTAATGAGTTCCGAAGCACCAGGAGGCTGTTTATAACACTAATAACAGTTGATTGGGCAGTTTTCACGTTTGTAAGCTGTTTAATAAATGTAACCAAAGCCGTCAAAGATTGAGGAAAGATGTACACGTTCGTAAGTAATCGCGTAACTGCTTCGTGAATCTGGTCCCTGGCTCTCTGGCTCGACACTTAAGACCTCCCAGACACTTGTTACGTTCTTCATAGACCTCTTTTGTTTTTATAATAACTTTGATGCTTTTAGATCCTAACAAAATAGAAGTAGGATCCCTTGATTGTTTCAAGCGTAGGTTAGACATATATATATATGGATGAGGAAATTTAGAATTAAGGAAATTCCTACTTGAGGAAAATTCCTGTTTCAGTTCTTCCTTCGTGGTCTGACACTGTCACAAATGAATGAGTTTGTGTGTGGATATAAATAGGAGCTGCCTCGTATGGGGCAATAGGCCTTCTGCAGTTACTTTCATTCTTATGTTCTTTTAATTTCCATCTTGAATGGCCGTGTAGTAACCTTGGCAGCAGTTTGGCCTCTGCCGCAGTGTCATTTAAATTGCTTGTCTGCCCCTTCCCTGAACCTTGTGCACTTATTTCTCGCCCTTTCTAGTGTCTGCTTGTTCACCTCGGTACTCTGTTAACGCTATTTTGTCACTCCCGTTTCTGCCTTTGACCTCATACTATTGTCTGCTGAATCATAGGTTAATCTTGCTCTGCTTCAGTTTACATTCGTGTGTGATTTCATGTAATATGCGCTCGGCGTCGAATTCCCACATGCTTGTTTAAGGTCGTTACGTCGTTACGTTCGTCATTGTTTAGAATTGAAATTGAAATCAGTTTATTGAGGTATAAATACACACAAATGGATGAGGTAGCTCAAGCTATTCTCACCCAGTTATCCATTGTTTAGAGTTTTACATAAATGTCTCTAATCTAAAATGGAGCGATCTAAGATCTAATTCAAACTCTAACGCTGCATTCAAACTGCTCATCACATTCTCATGAACCAATAACAGTATATTTATCCATTATCAACTTTCCTGTATATGAATTATCTATTCCCGAGCTCCGCATGTTTGAGGGGCGACCAGTGGCATTTATCTCGGAGCAATATAAATCGACGGCAATGTTAAAATATTCACGAGATCCAATAAGAACGAGTTTGAATAATGTAAGTTGTGATAAACTCTAGTTGTTACTTACTTGAAAAAGGAGAGCAGATTGGTGGGGAACTCGTTCCAGCAGAGGTTGTATGTCTGTTTCTTGTCATCTTGTTGTTGGTGGTGGTGATGGTGCTGCTGCTGCTGCTGCTGCTGGTAGTGGTGCTGCTGCTGTTGGTGGTGGTGGTGGTGGTGGTGCTCGCTGCTGCTGCCCATGGTGTTGCGCCTGGCCTGCTGGTGCAAGGCCTTCCCGCTGCGCAGCCTGCTGCCTCCTCGCTGTCCTTACGACCCCGCCCGCCCGTCACCCACCATGCTGCAAACACAAACACTCTCTCTTAGCTTACTTTAGTTCATTTATTATGAAATACCCTTTACCCTATACCCTTCTTGTGGGCGGTAGTGGAAAGGGTTACACAGGCACATAATGGGCTCAGGGACTGAACCCCACAATTCATTTAGCTAAGCAAGTTACAATCTTGATGAGCTAGTTACAAAATTCACTATATGTCGTCACATCAACAATGGGTTCGAGTTCGACCACAAGTACAGTTTCTAAATTAAGCAATTGACATATGTGGAGAGCTAGTGTCACAATTGATATGGGAACACGCTTCTCACATCTTCATCACACCCAACACACATTGTGTAATTATGTCCACACTTTCAAATTATTTCTTTATTGTTCACCCCATACCCATCCCGTGGGCGGTAGTGGAAAGGGTTACAGAGGCACATAATAGGCTCAGGAATTGAACCCCATATGCAGGCGATGAGTCACAATAACGTGGCTGAAGTATGTTGACCAGACCACACACTAGAAGTTGAAGGGACGACGACGTTTCCCATAACCCCATAGTTCGTTTTGTTAAACAAGTGACAATCTTATGAAGTTAGTAACACATTTGTTAATATTACATACACATGTACATATAGTGACACTTTACTCAACTCAACGACGTTTTTCATGCATAGGGATCAAGGATGAGATTCACAGAAGTGGTTTGCAACCACAACTAAAGATTTCATGGTTATCAGGTATAGGGATGAACTGTATCACATACCACCCACAGCCCCGCTCCTGTGTCAGGAAAGTTCACTGCGGGCTCACCATAGCCCGTGCTACTTGGAACTTTTTGTTTGGGAGTAGCTGAATCTAAAACAACAACAACAGCTGTATTAATACACAGTACTAATACTCGCGATATTGGCCTGAGTAGGACATTAAAGGAGACACGCATTGTGGGCTATGATGAGCGCATGTTGTAAGATGTACTCTGTACCCTTGCGTCCTCTCACCAGGCATCTGACTGTCAGCAGAACAATATCACCAGTTGTTCGACTGTTGAGAGGCGGGACCAAAGAGCCAGAGCTCAATCCCAGCAAGCACAACTAAGTGAGTATAACTAGGTGAGTACACATCATGTCGATGGTGCCTTTTCGTTGTCAGTATGAAAGCAGATTACAAAGCTCCGTCTTTACCCTCCCGCCAGTGTATAGTGACTGTACAACGTTATTTGACAACAAAGTGACTGTACAACGTTATTTGACAACAAAGTGACTGTACAACGTTATTTGACAACGTGAGATTGCTGGCGTTGCCAGGTGTGCACATCTGCTACTTCTCAAATGGTGATAATTTACACTGTGATTAGTTTTCTTGGTTGCTCCATTTTCTTTTTGCACTAGTATAGAAAGAATAATGATTGTTTTGAAGGGTTAAAAGACAAAAAAAAAAGTTGATACCTGTTCAGTAATTTCGCATTTAATACTCGCACTAAGGCAGTTATTGGAGCAATGCCTCGCTCACCTAACAGTCAGTAGGGCCCCGGGAGTTAGACAACTAGTATTTTAGTGTTAAGTTTTTTACCTCCTTCACACTTATAGTTCAATTTTATTTTTTTTGTTTACTGTTTATTGTTTGTTTTGCGGAAAACGCTTTGCGTAATAGTGGCTTCATTTGTATGTGTAACGCTTGTCCCCACAACTGTACATTACTCATGTGTTCTGTGTACATTCTTGTGAATAAAGATTATAATTGTGATTACAACTATTGTGATATATGTATATATGTATATATATACATATATAGTTATCATGAGTTGTTGAGTTCCTCCAGCTCCTCAGATGGCGGGTAGGAACCCTGAATGCTGTGTGCATTTTCCCTCTGTATTTCCACACTGAGGCGCTGGAAAAGGAAGCTGGCAGCTCTAGGGTGCCGGTGTGTGTGTGTGTGTGTGTGTGTGTGTGTGTGTGTGTGTGTGTGTGTGTGTGTGTGTGTGTGTGTGTGTGTGTGTGTGTGTGTGTGTGTGTGTGTGTGTGTGTGACGCAGGTGTGGAGTGGGTGGCGCAGGTGTGGAAGACAGTAGGTAGGCAGGGAGGTGTGGGGGAGGGTAGTGAAGTCTGGCCTAGAGTGCCCGTGTTGTGGTCCGCTGAGCCGTAGTCTCGTGTTCTCCAATATTTGTACTTTATTTACCCGGCATTATAGTGCGCCCTGGCTGGCCGGCGGGTCTGTGCTGCTCCATGAGTAATGGACGCTTAACAACTCGTAATACCTCCAACAACACATTTATTCCCGACCCCGATTGACAGTCCCGCAACAGTTACTGTAACAATAAAAGATAACAACTCTGATTATTGTCTATCAAACATGACTGACAATTAGTGGGCAACAGAGGCGGACGGGCGCGCTGTGTGGCGGCCAGACTGATGGCAGCTCAGTCGGCCTCCCTCACTATCATCACAAGCATCCCTTCCTAACGTGACATATCCACCCCCACCACCACTCTCCCAGCGGTTATCTTGCGATGATTTCGAGGCTCAACGTCTCCACGGCCCGGTTCTCGACCAGGCCTCCTCGTTGCTGGATTGGTCAACCAGGTTGTTGAACGCGGCTGCTCGCAGCCTGACGTATACCTGCTTGATGGGGTTCTGGGAGTTCTTCTACTCCCCAAGCCCGGCCCAGGGCCAGGCTTGACTTGTGAGAGTTTGGTAGGCTATTGCTTGGAGCGGCCCGCAGGCCCACATACCCACCACAGCCCGGTTGGTCCAGCACTCCTTGGAGGAATAAATCTAGTTTCCTCTTGAAAATGTCCACGGTTGTTCCGGCAATATTCCTTATACTCGCTGGGAGGATGTTGAACAACCGCGGACCTCTGATGTTTATACAGTGTTCTCTGATTGTGCCTATGGCACCTCTGCTCTTCACCTTCAACTTTAAGGCCACATTCGACAAGGAATTTGAACATCAGAATAGTTAACTTGTAACGCAACGGGTACAACAGGTTAGTAGGCGGGGCATGCAACCCGTCCTCTTAAAATAACGTCGCCTTTAGCTCGTATGCGCGCTATGGCCAAAAATGGACGTAATTTGAAATGAAATCGGCTCATGAAAATGACGTACTGTCCCGTTTTCTGTTTGAGTTCTCTGGCTTACTCGGTTAGGAGAGGAAACTTTCAATTAACTGTTTTCGTTAATGAAACCATCGAAGAACTTCCTGCCCTCCTAACTTACCAGAGGACCCTTAACTTGCTGTTTTGGAAAAATAAAGCTACAAAATTTATTTTAAATTATTTTTTTTTTCAAATTACGTCCATTTTCGACCAAACGGCCAAATTCAGACGTAATTTGTAAGAGGAGAGGTTGAGAACTAGAACTAACTCCCTCGTAGTCACTGTTAGGTAAGTTCCATCTTGAGGTTATCTTGAGATGATTTCGGGGCTTTAGTGTCCCCGCGGCCCGGTCCTCGACCAGGCCTCCACCCCCAGGAAGCAGCCCTTGACAGCTAACACCCAGGTACCTATTTTACTGCTAGGTAATAGGGGCATAGGGTGAAAGAAACTCTGCCCATTGTTTCTCAATGGGCAGAGTTCACCCTATGATCCTGTTACCTAGCAGTAAAATAGGTACCTGGGTGTTAGTCAGCTGTCACGGGCTGCTTCCTGGGGGTGGAGGCCTGGTCGAGGACCGGGCCGCGGGGACACTAAAGCCCCGAAATCATCTCAAGATAACCTCAAGATAACCACCACCATCGCCTTGAATCTACCAGAAACCTCCCCCTCACCACTAGCATCAGTTATCTCTAGATGTTGTTGTTGTTTTAGATTCAGCTACTCGGAACAAAAGTTCCAAGTAGCACGGGCTATGGTGAGCCCGTTGTGGACTTACCTGGCACAGGAGCGGGGCAAGTAGCACGGACTATGGTGAGCCCGTTGTGGACTTACCTGGCACAGGAGCGGGGCAAGTAGCACGGGCTATGGTGAGCCCGTGGTGGACTTACCTGGCGCAGGAGCGGGGCAAGTAGCACGGGCTATGGTGAGCCCGTAATGAACTTACCTGGCACAGGAACGGGGCTGTAACTCTTATATGTATGTGTGTACCACCAACCACGCCACACAACCATGTACACAACCATGAACAAAATAGAGGACATAGTGCAGAAGAAAACTGGCATAGATGCAAAAGGGCAAGGAATGTACGACACGCAGATTTTTAACTTTTTTCCCTCCTGTGTGGTTCGTGTCGTTGTCGTTATTGATGCCGCGTCCGTCAGGTTAATGGTAGTTAGCAATTTGTTGTTGTTATAGATTCAGCTACTCGGAATAAGTTCCAAGTAGCACGGGCTATGGTGAGCCCGTAACTTACCTGGCACAGGAGCGGGGCAAGAAGCACGGGCTATATGAGTTAGCAATTATAAGACATTTCTTTCATAGGTAGACTCAAACTGCTGCTAAGGGGGAAAGGGGGAGTGAGGTAGGGAGAGGGGGTAGGGGGTAGGAGGAGGGATATAAAGGCAAAAGAAATCATTTTTTTTAATCGGCATTTGTGAGTCATAAAGGTGGTGATTGAGGCCATGTTGACTATGAGATATCCGCGCGTGCCGTGCGCCCGCTCTATTTACCAGTGTTATGGCTCACTTGGCTCGTCGGGAATACCAACATGGCAATCCACCACGATCAATAACACCATCACGTCTTGTGTCGCCCTTATCCCACGCCCGCTACCTCCTCCCCCGACACCCGCTCCTCCTCTCCCCTCTCCCCAACCTGTCTCATGGTGCTGTAAGAGTCAGCTACTCGGAACAAGACGTTGCAAGTAGCAATGGGCTGTGGTGAGCCCGTAGTGGACTTATCTGGCACACGAGCGGTGCTGTGACTGATAGGCGAGACCTTTCCTCACAGTGTGTGCCCCTAAATTCACGCTCAAAATATCTCTCTCTATATATATCTCTCTCTATATCTCTCTCTCTATATCTCTCTCTCTCTTTATTTTCTCTCTCTCTCTCTCTCTCTTTCTCTTTCTCTTTCTCTTTC